AGAGAGAGAGAGAGAGAGAGAGAGAGAGAGAGAGAGAGAGAGAGAGAAGCTCAGTGAGCAGTTTAAAGGAGAGACTGCCCTTGAGGCCCTGAAGTCCCCAGTGCCAGGTGACCAGCATTCTCCAAGGAGAAGCACTGCACAGGTCAAACTCCCGACAGCTTGAGACCCAAAAATGCTTTGTCTGCAGGGTCCTGCAGCCCCATCCAGCTCCAGGACCTGTGAACAGATTCTTCCATAGAGCTGGGCTTTGGCTGGTGCCTTGGAGCGCCAATGGCCTGAAGGACTCACATCGTAAAAGACAAAGATGAGGGCTGAGGAGATGGTTCATTTGGTAAAGTGCCTGACACCCAAGCTTTAGGATGAAAATTTGATCCCCAGATGCACATAAAGGGCTGGGTGCAAGACCAAGCGTGGTGGTGCACATGTTGGGAGGCAGGCAAGTGGGTCTCTGTGAGTTCAAGACCAGTGTCAGCCAGGGTGACATCATGAGACCCTTCTTTAAAAAGAATTAGAAAGAAGCTAGGAGCAGCAGTGCATACCTATAATTTCGGTCCTGGAGAAGCAGAGAGTCCTGGGGCTCGCTGGCCAGACAGTCTGGCCCAGTTCGTGAGGTCCAGGTTCAGTGAGAGCCACTGTCTCAAAGAATATGACAGAGACTCATTACAGAGGGCACACCTCTGGCTTCCACGTGTACACACACTTGTGCACATGCGTGTGCACACACACACAAATGAGGACGGTGATTGGTGGGGAAAGTGGACACTGAGGAGCTTCAAGGAGACAGTCAGGATCACGTTGTCACAGCTCAGGTGCTTTTGCATAATGAACCAAGAGACCTCAGTGCGAGCCGTGCACCAGATACAATCAGTGCGAGCCGTGCACCGGATTCCTCAATGTTGAGGTCAAATCCCCAGCATCAACTTTGCCACTCACGACGGCTCCACGCTACTTTTGGGCATTTGCCCTATTTCCAGCAGGCACCCATGCAAGCGCTTGTGCCTGTAACCCAGAGGAGACTGCATCAGGACTTCCACCAGGCGGTGTGGCCAGGGTCGGCCAGGGTCGGCCAGGGTTCAAAGGAGGTCTTGATTCTAAGAGGAAACATTGGTAAAATGGCTATCTAGCTAAATGTCACCCTCCAATTTCAGGGAGGTCACTGCCAATCCCAAATCCCTTCGCCCATGAAAGTGGGGCTCTGTGGTTTTGAACCAGGGACCTTTGAATCTGGGCCCTTGCGAGGCCAGGAGCATGGCAGTTAACAAGGCTTTCTGGAATGTCAACACAAAGAATCTGAACAGCCAAGCCTGTGTGTGCAGACAGGTCTGGAACTGCCTGGGCATCTGAAGCAGTCAGCTGGGTGGAAGGGGTCGGCAGTGTTAAAGCCGAGTGTGGCCGAAGGGGTCCGAGGAGAGCCAACCGGCAGAGCATGGCCTGGAAGGCAATGGCAGGGGAAGGAAGGGAAACCGCTTGACACAGCGCCTTTGGAAGTTGATGCCCACGCTGCTAGGGAACCCAGCAGAGTAGAGCTGAGAGGATCCAGAGCAGCTAGGACACTGACCAGGGCTCCGGGCAAAAGGCTGGTGACTCTGCTCAAAGGTGGTGGGAGACTGTGATGGACAGACAGAAGGATCAATAGGGGAAGGGAACGGTTCCCGCCGTCATTACCTGTGGCTGCTATAGCAATGACCAGCAAGTGACTTAGTGGCTTCAGATAACAGTTACCTCAGGATGTCTGTGGATCTGGAGTTCAGAAGGCCCTTGGCTAAGCACAGCTGTGGGCCCCATGCTATCCAGGTGCTAGCCAGGGCTGGGGAGGAGGGCTTCATGGGAAGATCATAACTAGTGAAGGATCATGGGAAGATCCTAGCTAGTAAAGGATCAGCTTCAGGCTCCCAGGGTCATCTGAGAAGTCGCTTCTTGGTTGGCCTTTGGGCTGAGGCCTCAGCTCCTACAACTGGGATCTCTTCCACACAGCTACTCACGACATCAGACCTGGAAAGGGAGGGTCTTCCGGCAGGACAGAAATTACAGTCATCCAGTGACAGCCCATCTCCTCTGCCACATTAGGTCAGAATCAAGACCTAATGGGTCCAGCCATGCTCGCAGGGAGGTACCCTGCACTAGGAGGGGGAATCCCAGGGGTCATTGAGGGTAGCAAACAAACTCCCTAAACATCAGGGTAACACAGGAAGCTGCTATGCGGTGACGTCAGGGGCAAGGCGTACAGTTCAGGTTCCGAGAGGGGAAGACAAGTCCACAGACCCTCTGCCTCGTGTGAGCAGTGGCATTGGGTGTGGAGTGGAGGGACGGGGCCCTCCACGGCAGCCCGTTAGCATCCACGGGGCAGTCTGTCTGAGGAAGGATGGGTGGCTCAAAGAGCCCAAACCTGCTCAGTCTCTCTTTTTTTTTTTTAAGATCTATTGATTTTTTAAAATATTATTTATTTATTTTTATTTATATGAGTATACCGTAGCAGTCAGTGCTCTTAACTGCTGAGCCATCTCTCCAGCCCTATTTATTTTATTAATATGACTACACTGTAGCTATCTTCAGATAGCTACACCAGAAGAGGGCATCAGGTCCCATTACAGATGGTTGTGAGCCACCATGTGGTTGCTGGGAATAGAACTCAGGACCTTTGGAAGAGCAGTCAGTACTCTTAAACACTGAGCCATCTCTCCACCCTCAGTCTCTTTTTTTAACCACCACCCCTTGCCTTTGCATCTTCTCTCAGGATCTCCCCTCTGTGAAAAGGCACGCTGATCTGGATAAGTGAGGCCGGCCCCATGTATCCGGAATCAACCACGGGGTCCCCAGCTCGACTCTCCCTGCGGCAGACAGGCTCCCCCGGGATGATCTACAGGTAACTCACCCAGGCCTCCTCTGAGGAGGAGTCCCTGAGGCAGTCACCCTTCTCTGGGGAAAAACTAAGGTCTCAAAGAAGGCTAACAGGGCTGTGAGGTACACAGGCCCCGTGGGAAAAATGGAAGCTTTCCAAGCCTCTAGTTGGAAAGAAGGTGAGACTTTCCGGATGACACTGGGCCAGGATAGATTTGTTTCTGGTCCCTGGCCCTTTGGAAATCTCATCTGAGGCTACCTGAGCCCCTCAGCAGGGGGTCACAGCAGTGTTGTTCCTGCTGTGGACATCACTACTCAGTGGTCTGGGATATCCCACCCAGAGGCGTCTGGGAGGCTGCTCTCAAGGAGCTCACAGGCATTTGGGGACCTGCACCTGCTCATTTTCCAAAGGCCAGCAACAGCCAGACTCTTACAGGGCAATCTTGACCTCCTTGTGTGAACCAGCCTTTCTGAACAACAGACCTCCTGTAGGGGGCGCTGGTGAGCCACTGGCTACAGAGCCGGCAAAGGAAACCCAAAGCAGCATCACCATCCTGAAAGATTATGGCCGGATAGGACCCCAACAGCCTATATATTCTGGGAATTCGGACCTTTGTAGACAATGAGTGGACCCTGAGCTGTTGCAAATATCTTTGGAAAACCAGGGGGAAGAGGTGTCTGTCCTGGGAAGGGCCCCAGAGTCTCAGGCCCTCCTGTCAGGGTGTGATTTAGCGGCTCTTCTCAAGCATGTTGTAAAGCATAATCTAAAGCTTATTGAAAATCCAGACGCAAGCTGAGGGCGGGGCTTAAAAAAACCCAGCCGCTCTCTCAAGAGTCTACAGTGGGGAAGAAGCCTCGGTGCCTCTGGACCTATCCACCACCAGAGCAAGCAGGCGCCAGACCGCTGCTTCACTGGCCACTGGGTGGCGCTGCTGCAGAGCATTTGGTTGCACATCGGCTAGAGCCTGGTCAGCTACCCTGGAGCCCGGGGATGGAGATGCGTGGTGGGTGGGGCTGCGGGATATCAGTGATGAATTCTGAGCTTGCACCTGCCTGTGGCTGATGCCAATTGCATACTGTCTTCTCTCCTCTTCTCCCCCCCCCACCCCCTTTTCTCCATTGCTATCCGAAGTACTCGGTATGGGAGTCCCAAAAGACAGCTCCAGTTTTACAGGTAATAAGTCATCCTCCTGCTCCTCCTGCTCCTCCCCCCACCGCTCCTCCTCCTGTTCCTCCTCCCCCTCCTGCTCCTCCTTCTTTTTCTCTTCCTCCTCCCAATCCAGAAGGCCAAAGGGCAAGGTATGGTGGGGAGGGCAGTGCCCATCCCAGGCAGGGCAGGATGCAGGCTGGCACAATCTGCAATGGTGGACTCTCCCCATGTCTCTCATGTCTCTCCCCATGTCTCTCATGTCTCTCCCCATGTCTCTCAGTGCTAACCACAGAGCCTGTGCAATGCCTGGTGAAGGCCTGGAGAAGGCATGCATGCGGTCGGGTTAATTGCGTGTGTCCATCTACTGAAGTCCGCTTTGATTTGACCAAATGGGCTTAAGATATGGTCTCTTAAGATTTGGTCTCTCAGCCAAATCTATGCTTAGAACCTTGCTCACCAGCTCGGCCTGGAGCTTGGCAGTAGAGCACTTGCCTAGTGTGTTCAAGGAGATGGGTTTCACCATCACCATCACAAGGTTATAAAAGAAAAAAAGGAAAATTTTCAGTGTGCGGGCCACTTTCTTGTGGTTGTGGGACTGTGTTCCCGTTACCAGAGGGAAGGGTCTGTGCTGAACCAGTCTGTCCTTTCTGTCACCTGCAGATTTGTGTTTAGATGGGCTTACAACCTGTGGAGCCCTCAGGCACTGCTTTGAAGCTCCTGACATCATACGGTGTATACAGTGCCTGTGTGATTTGGGTCAAGGGGCTGGGGGAGGGGTGGTAGCTCTCAGACCAGGAGTATTTGAAGACAGGTGTTGCCATGCTGACTGAGGTGTGGCACTGAGAAGCCCAGGTTCCCCTTGGGGCAGTCTGCCTCTCCCTCTAGAGGAGCTCACACTCATCCACAAAGAGAAGGACACATCCAGAAAACACTTGCAGGCCCAAGAAGTAAACTGTCAGAGCTGCAGAGGACTTGCAGCCTAGCTGGCTGTGATGGGGGTCCCTACACCCTTGGCAACAGGGCAGTGCCTGCTGCAGCATCTACCCCGGAAGGATAGAGGTCGCCTTCCAGGTCTGTCTAGCACATCTCAGAGGTGGTGCTGTGGGCTGTTCTAACGCACCAGCACTCTGGGCTACGTGTGTGGTGGGGTGGGCACTGGGTCCTCTCATAGCTGTGTTCTTCCTGTGGCCTCAAGATCATGACCGCGCCTGGCTTCACAGGCTGACTTGAGCCACTGTCTCTGAGGTCTCGTTCCTCCCAGGGAAGTCTGAGAGATGAGGCTCTGGTTTGACTTTGGCATTGACTGGATAAAAACGTCTAACTGAAGTTGACCTTGCACACACTCGTGTGTCTATCTGTGTGGCACGTGAAGAATGCATGCTGTTTGTTGTGGTCAGATCGGAGTAATAAAACCAAACGTGCACCTGAGCCCCCATCCTCTACAGAGCCTGTCCACCTCCACCTGGTGAGAGAGGAAGGATGAACAGCAGGCTGAAAAGGCACCTGGTAAGGCACAGGTATGAATATGCCTGCCGTGAGTGTCCCCTGGTGTTAGCTGGCCCTCAGACCAGCAGACCACAGGTCCATCCCGCACTTAGAATCTCCAGTAGAAGTTTCACAAACCAGTTAAGTCAGATGTCTGATGGTTATCTTAAAGGGCTGGCTCTTCATTCATTGGACAGACAGGGTGACGCTCACTGGAAGCATCCACATCATCTTGGTACTAAGCATGGCCATCACAGAGCACCTGACATCACCTGACACTGGCCCTTTGAAAGCAGAAGTTGTTTGTGGCCTCACAGTGAACAGGACTCTCTGTCCTAGTTACCAGTTGAGCAACTCCCAGAGCAACGAAGAAGTAAAATTCTGTATAATACACAGCCCCAAACCTAGTGTCGTCTGGAGGTTGACATTCCTGCTTATGTGTCTGTGGGTTGGCTCGAGTCAACTTCTACTGGCTATGCAGGGACCTATTTTGTCTCCATGCTGCAGATGGGTCCACATGTCCTTCATCCTGTCTCTCTAGCCAGGGCCTGTTCTGGGCACGTTCTTCCATAGAGGAAGCATCAGAGGAGAAGAAGAGCCAGGCCTGCGGCTAGACTACAGCAGACACTGACTGACGTTTCTGCTCAGGTTCCTATGTTCAGAGCAAGCAAGACTCCCTAGTGCAGGAAAATGCATTACACCACCAGTAGGGGGCACCGCAGAGCCTCAGCGGATTGGTTGCTTTTCTCTTTGCTTTTACCAGTTGCCTGACCAGAGGGAAGGGAGGAAAGGAAGGTGGTTCATTTTGTCATATGATTTGGGCGTCAGGTTCATCACGGCAGGAAAGTGTGACAGTGGAAACGAAACGGTGTCTGCTTTGGTGGGGGTGGGGAGGTGAGGCTGCTTGCTCTCGTCTGGATAAATCAGGAAGCAGAGTGGGGAATCCGGGGGCTCAGCTGGAGTTTTCAGTCTGAGACCTTAGTTTACGGGATGCTGTCATCCACTCTGAGGTGTGTAAATGGCCTCACACGTGCCTGATATGTCTAGGGATAGCTAATGCTCTGGGTGTGTTTCTTAACTCAGTAAAGTTGACAATCTGGACTAGCCGTTACACATGGAAAGTCCCAGGTACAGAGAGGCATAAAGGACCGAATAATATAGCCAACCCCTGAACTTCTGTAACTTCATGGAAAACTTCTGGAGTGATGTTTTGCGCCGAGGAAGGATGTGGTTCCCCCTCCCAGCCGGTGTGACTCAGGACCACTGACAGCTAGGCTAAAAAAGCTGTCCCAGTAAACAATTCAGATTTTTGTTACTGTAACAGTATACCCGAAACGAGCTGTCTTGATTACTTTTCTATGGCTGTGATAAAACAACATGATCAAGACAACTTACAGAAGAAAATGTTAAATTTGGGCTTACATGGCTGCGGACAATTAGAGTCAGCGGCTAGGGGCAGAGCAAAGGCCGGAATAGCTGAGAATTTATATCTTGGTCCACGGTAGCCTAAAAATTTCCCCTGGGGCTCTACCTCTCAGAACCCATCATTACTTCAAAGAAGTAAACTCTTGGAGACACAATCATGAAAAGCTTGTCCTTTGGGGGGAAACATCCCAGCTCAGTCCTGAGGCCTCTCCAGGTTTTCATGTACCTTGGGTTGTGTTCAGGCTACTGGCTGCTTGTCCCGTTCCTCCCTACAAATTGGAAATTGCTATTTGTTCTTTTGTATCAGCCTGTACCCAAGACCCCACAGGCACTGGCATGTGTTCTGAGCATCCAAGGATACTGGCAACAGGGCATCACAGTGAACAGCCTAAAATCTTTATCTGAAGTTCAGTCAAGGGTGTCCTGTGAAGGAAACCTACCAGAGGGGTGTGCATTATGTACCCAAACAGATTTCTAGAACCTTCCATGTATAGGCAGCTGTCTGTACATATATCCACATGGAGTACACTCCCATGGAGGGGAAGAACATCTCTGTGTGCCTCTTCACTGTGGCAACGGCCACATGCCACAGGTACCCTAGCTATCCACTGCAGACACAGCTTGGAAGCAGGTGGAGAAGCCGTGGGCTATGTGTCTGGCATTCAAAGAAGGAACAGCACAACCAGCTCTTTTCTACCTGTGGCTCAGAAGACCCAGGCCTCTGACACAAAGGCAGCAGAGGCAGCAAAGGAGAGTCCACGGGAGGGGGCGGGACCCCCACCTCATGCCGCACCCCGACCATCCAGCCGGACGTCGGCATTGGCAGGCTGTAGCGTGGCACTGCACTTCCCGAGCTTTTAGGAGAAAGGTACTCGTGAATAATTCAGCCTCTGCCATGGGATGAAAACTCCCTAATAGAAGCTAATGGACTTGCTGCCTCCAACACCGACCCTGTGGGGCTCTCTCATTCACCAATTGCTTCTGACGTTCTGCAGTGACACTCCCTAATGAAAAACGCCACTGCGTGCGCTGCTTCCTTAGTTCCGTAACCAGACTGTGGCCTTTTTAACAAGCAGCCACCCGGGGAAGCAGGTGAGTCGGACACAGAAGTGGATGCAGCGGTCACTGTCTTGGGGGTGATGTCTAGACACAGACATCCCCGGGAACTTATACGGTAGAGCTGTGGTGGTGTCTGGGCATGCTTCCGGCTGGTCAGAAATCAGACCGTACACAATTTTTCAAAGCAGACAGCCTCAAAGATCCCACCCTGGGGTGCACTTGAGGTAACTGTGCAGAGTGGAGGAGGGTGGGCTGGCTCCCTGTGATCCTGCTTGCGCCCACCCCGTGCAGCCCTGGCCTGGCTGTCTTCCTGTCTGCCGGCGTCCTTCCGTCTAGCTCATGCCGCGCTGGTGTTACCCTTGATTGAGATTCAGCATTCATGACTTGGGCTGGCAACGCTGTCCACAAGGTTTCATGCTTCCTGAGAAGTCTGTCTAGGAAGCTCATGCCTGCAGGAGCCAGGGTTGCTGTTCAGATCTCGCTTTGCTGACACTTCTTGGGCAAAATGACTGTTTGTGTGTTGCAGGGATGCTGAGCGTGTGTGTGTGTCTCTCTGTGTGTGTGTGTGTGTGTGTGTGTGTGTGTGTGTGTGTGCTACATAGCCGCGCCCCGAGATAGTGACCACTTCTCTGTGCTTCCACTTCTGAAGCTTCCGGCTGGTCTCCTGGCTCTGGACACGTGTTGCCGTTTGACAGAGAGACAGGGCTTCTTTTTCCGCCTGCCCCTGTGTTGTCGGGCTTCAGTGGCTCCAGGTAGAAAACACTGGGTAAGGCAGAAGCGATTTCAACTGACTTAATGAGGTTAGCTCTGCCATCACCCCACTTTTCCGTGTCACCGTGTTAATTCGAGTGGAGTCTCCTGAGTCCCCGGCCGACAGGAATAGATTTCCAGAGAAAACCTGCAAGTGTGTGGAATTAGAAGGTCCTAATTGGGGGGTGGGAGGGGATGATGCTTGTTCTAGAGAGCAGGTAGGATGTAGGGTGAGAGTTCCAGAGAGCCTCGATCTAGAATGCGACAGGATGTTGCAACGCAGAGGTCAGAGGTCACTGCCATTT